GCGAGTGTTTGTAGGACAGGCTCGCCGGCTCGGGTGCGGTGTTCAGCCTCGCCGGCATTCAGCCTCCATCGGCTCCAGGTGCAGAAGCAATGGCCGAGATAGATTTGGTGCTACAGAGCCCGATCAGTTTTCTGCAACTCCACCCTCACTTTCGCCGTCACCTCCGAATTCGTCTACACAAGCCGCTTCGCTCTCCTTCTCATCGCCTACCATGCCACGACATTCCTCACCATCTGACGCAACGGGCTGGCCGTTAGTGGAACCATCACAACTGACCAGTCGGACCCAAGAGTCAGCAGTTCGCTCCACCCTTGGGGTGGTAATAAACCAGTCCCATCGTCACAGTAACCATCAGCTTCTACCACTACTTCCTTCTAGACCACCAGTATTCATAGACTCATTTGTACAGCTGTTGCTGCTACGGCCAGCCACGAAAAGTGGGGGAAAGCATGCGACAGCAACCGTAGAGGAGGCAGTATTTGGAACTGGAACAAAAGACTTCATAGTTGCGGTCTATCGAAGTCGGGTGGTGCGCTCAACTAGCGATGATCCAGTCTACGATACCGAATTTATACACAAGTCCATTTCTCTCAATCAGGTGGGGCCGATTAATAGACTGAAAAAAAAGAATCAAAATAAAATAACTGGATTTTTTTTTCTTTTAAGGGATTAGACTGAGTTTACAATTTCTTCTTGTTGTTAATATGATACTACTTTTTTTATATAAGTAGCCCTATTAATTTCTATGATAGGATTTGATGCTGTTACAGAAATTATCAATATGTCAAATAATCAATAAAAATATGTGAATAAAATCTAGGTTTCGAAGACTCCCTTAAAGATATATTGTGACATGATTTTGTATGTGAAATGAAAAGGTGGCTGATACGAAATCGTAAATGCTTTGAAATGCACTCCGAGGCAAGCTTCTTACGTTTTTCGGTGATACCAATTCACGAATTCCTTCCAATCAACTCCTCCCTCGAAATGTAAAGTCCTGTCACATTAATTATTTGAGAGCACTACACTAAACATAAACCATTCTTTGTCCAGGGTTCTGGTGAGACAAATTTCTGAATCCTTTTTAATGTGGTTTACCTTAAAACTTAGATTTTCCTTATATTTATCACACACACACATATACGTACATATATGGGTTTACACACCAAAAAACACGTAAATTCACCTTTTTAGGCGAGGGCTCTGATGTTGAGGCTATCCGTCTACATTATCCAGCCAGAAAACCGAGAGCGATCTTGGCCCTTGGGTGAAATTGACCTCGGCCAACTTGGTCAGGCCGGCTTATCATCAGACGTGGAAGTCGGACAATGCTTGAGTCTGACAAGGCCACTTTCTGGTCTAAACATTGCACAAGTGAGTAGAGAGCGAACTACATTCAACCTAAATTCCAACTATTCATGCCATCCATTTTGCAATTTTGTTAATGAATAATACAAACTTGGTGCTGATAGTGGTAGTGTGGCAGTACCTTCGAGATAGAGGTATGAAAAGAGAAGGTTCAATTATTTGGCTTATTCTAAATCTGAAGTGGGTGTGAAAACTGCCTTTCCGCTGTAAGAATGGCATAAATGCTTACAATGTTTTCAACAGGACTAACGAAAGATGGCTTGAGGACTGTATTAGATAGAACCTCCGAGTAGAATCAAAATAAAATCAAGAAAGGGGGAATCCATTGTAATCGGCTGGTAATATTTGCTTACTAATCCATTGATCACACACCTTACTAAAAGAAATGAAGGCCAGCTCAGTGGAATTTTATTAAAGTGTATTTTATCAAAATTTGCTAAACGATTTTTTTTAAGCAGGCCGGCACATATCGATGTAGGAGTGGTTTAAAATTGAGCAGATATCACAAAACAGGCCATTTTAAGAAATATTCTTTTAATTGCATTATTACATCACCTTTGATGTTCGATAAGGAAAAACTACGAATCTATGATCATGAAAATAAATTTAATAAATACTTCAAAATACAGTCTTTCAGTTTTCTGATTTTCTACTTATTCAGATTTATTATTGTTTCAGAAAGATTTGCTGCTAACATCGCTACATTAAGATATAGGACTATTGTGTTTTTAAGTTTTAAAATAAACCTATTTTCTTTCTATAAAAATTAAAGTAATTTCAAATTATCTGTGTCTGTAACCCATTGTGGTTGAAGAAGCAGGGCTGACTGGGTAAAATGTCTGCTTTCTAGGGTTCAGGAGTTGGCTTCCACCTGGAATGTCGTTATAAATTATTCTAG